TGCGGAAGCTTAATAGGGAAAAGTAGGAAAACATAGCCTGAGAAGGTATGTTTTACACATTAGGGAATCCGATTTATAATCTGTACATGTGAGTGTAGAAGTAGCATAATTCGTAGATTAATTCATAAAATCCTATTGAAGTCAAACCCTAACCGTTTGTTTTAATTGATATTTCTCGTGAATTAACCTTGCTGTCATTAATTAGTTTTTAAAGTACGTAGTAAATTTTGTTTTTACTTTAGCTTAATTTTCTCCTGCAAATCCAAACATCTTTCGGTTTCTCCAACTTGATAAACAACTAAAAAAATCAGTGCTTAACAAACAATCCTCGTGAGAACGATACTCTACTTTATCACTTTATTACTTTTTGTGATGACCATTTTAGAAATTGATTGGTATGAGTATAGTTTTCAAGCCTTATTATATATTACAAGCCATAGAATTTGCTAGAAGATCTTGAGAATATTTTGTATTGGCCAAAAGTTTAGTTAAGAATGTTAAAAAGAAATTAGAATTTAGCCAAAGTATATATGTTGTGGCATATGTTAGATTTAATTTAGAATGATTAATATGGCAATATAGATTAATGTATAAAATGTAGCCAAAAGAAAAGAAGAAAGAAGGGCATGTATAACAATTGAAGTTGATGGTCATGTAAGAGAATGCAAATTTATGGCACTAAGATTGTTATTTAGAAAGTTGTACAAGGCATGTTTGTTACATTAGAAAATATTAGAGAGTAGAATTTGTGAGAGATAATGTACTTGTGTACGTGTACATTTTACATAGCATGATAGAATTAACGAATTACAGAATTATGTAGAAATTATAGAATCGCATACGTACACACGATGCATAGAATTCAGAAATAAAAAATAAAATAGAAAATGTTTAAGTTAAGCGTGTTATTAGAATAGAACTTTGGGCTTTCTAGAAAAGTATAGAAATAAAAGCCTTAGAATTAATAGAATACATACCAGAGTCAGACACATATTTTGGGATCATGCATAGATAGCATGTAAATGCATGACATAGCATAGCATATATTTCAGAAATTTTAAAATTATTGGAAAATGTCTAGCTAGTTATTTTGCAGATTTACAGAGCATGTTTTCAGAGGGCTGTTGCGATGGGGAACCTGTGAGCATTCGCTACATTAGCTAGTGGCGACAGAGATGCAGAAGTTTCCCACATACATGCCGTCATCAGTGAGCAGCATCAGAATAGAAAACAGAATTGTACAGTCCACCAGAAGTGCATGTGGAAGAGGATTGTACCCAGAAAGAATTTCAGAATACGCTCACACGGTCAGGGTTCCAAATCCATGCCTTAGCCTAGTCCGGTTAGCAAATCAAAACAAAATATAGAAAGAATTTCATAAAGAAAGAAAAATATAATAAAAAATAGAAAACAGAAAGAATTTCAGAAAGAAAAAGAGAAATAATTTCATAAAGAATTAGAAAAGAATTTTCAGAAAGAATACAAACATGATCATTTGCATATGCATCAGACATTTTATGTGCATTGCATCTCATGAATTTATGCATTGATTAAACAATTTATTTTATTATTGCGTGTCTGACTAGCCAAGAAAAGAAAATAGAAGCCCATGAGAATAGAGAAGAAAAGGAAATAGAATTCTACCCATGAGAATAGAGAAGAAAAGAAAATGGAAGCCCGTGAGAATAGACAAGAAAAGAAAATAGAAACCCATGAAAATAGACAGGAAAAGAAAATGGAAGCCCGTGAAAATAGACAAGAAAAGAAAATAGAAACCCATGAGAATAGACAAGAAAAGAAAATACAAGCCTACGAGAATAGACAAGAAATTAGAGATATATAAGAAAAGACCATAAATTAGATACATGCTAGAAAAGAACAGAAATTAGAAACATGACAAATAGCAAGGAAACTTAGCGATTTTGTTGAGTAGAGAAAGAAACCGAAAGTTATAATCTAGCAGAGAAGAGAAATAAAATGATAAAGAATAGCACAACACTAGCAGGATTTAGAAAGATTTGAGAAAAATAGAAGACTGCTAAGTAGTAGGCCTAAGAATAAAGAGAGAAAGCAAGTAGAAATTTAGAAACAGTACAGCAAAAACGGGGACAGCAGAGTAAGAGCATAGTTAGATTTGGTTTACTTATTGAGCATTTACAGCTAACCCCGTTGCTTTCCTTATTTTTGCAGGTATTAGATTGTAGTGGTCGGGAGAGGTCAAGCTAGCGAGAGGATTGCACACACTATCTCAGTGAAGAAATTTAATGTGGATTTATATATGTGAGAAATAATCTTTGTGTAATAGTATATTATAACTAGATTACGGATAAAAATTTTAGACGAACACTCTTTTTAAACTAGCAATTCTCTGGATTCTCTCTATAGGATACTCAATGAATACTTGCCTAGTAAGGCATTACATGATACATCTTTATACCCCCAGGATGAGCAAAGTATAGTGTATTGTGAGCTTTCTCCAGAATTTTCTTCCTCGGTTCTTTATTCCGGGGAACATAAACTCTTTTCTGAAGTTCAGGATCCCATTTACCCATTTGAATTCTGATTCTTTTGCCATCTTTCATTTGCTGCTCAATTCCTTTGCAAAATTCATCATCTACTTGTTTTTCTTTAATTTCCTCTAATAGTGTAGACCGAACTTCAATACTATATAGTCTTTCAATCACCAAATCTAACCCTTCATTTATGATTTCCCACTGTAGCTACTTTTGAACTATTAACTGGGCTAAGGAGATTTTTCTACTAAGGACGTCTGCAACCACATTAGCTTTCCTTGATACATAATGTCACACTCGTAGTCCTTCACCAGTTCAAGCCATCTTCTTTGTCTCATATTTAACTCCTTTTGAGTGAAGAAGTACTTTAAACTCTTATGATCTGTGTATATATTGCATTTCACCCCATAGAGATAATGTCTCCAGATCTTCAAAGCGAAACCCACAGTTGCTAACTCGAGATCATGAGTGGGATACCTCTTCTCATAATCTTTCAGCTGACGAGAGGCATAAGCAATCACCCAGCCTTTTTGCATCAATACCACCCCCAAACCATTATGAGAAGCATCAGTATAAATATCATAATCTACTCCATCCTCTGGAAGGGCTAAGATAGGAGTAGTAATCAATCGTCTCTTCAATTCTTGGAAGCTCTTTTCACAAGTTTCATTCCATCTGAATGGGGCTTCTTTCTTTGTCAAAGCTGTGAGTGGAGAAGCCATTTTAGCAAAGCCTTCCACAAATTTTCTATAATACCCTGCTAACCCAAGGAAACTTTTGACTTCCCTTATAGTCTTTGGTCTGGGACATTCCATAACTGCTTCAATCTTGCTAGGGTCTATAGAGATACCTTCTTGTGAAATCACATGCCCCAAGAATGCCACCTGATCTAACCAAAATTCATATTTGAAGAATTTGGCAAACAACTTCTTCTCCCTTAATCCCTGTAACACGAATCTTAAATGCCCTTTATGTTCTTCTTTTGTCTTGGAATAGACCAGGATGTCATCTATAAAAACCACCAGGAACTTATCCAAGCAATCAAGGAAAACTCTATTCATCAAATCCATGAACATTGCCGGTGCATTGGTTAATCCAAATGGCATCACTTCAAATTCATAATCTCTGTACCTGGTTCGGAAAGCAGTCTTAGAAATGTCTCCATCAACGACCTCACTTGATGATAACCCAACCGAAGGTCAATCTTAGAAAATATTGAGGCTCCCTTTAGCTGATCAAACAAATCATCAATTCTAGGAAGAGGATACTTGTTTTTCACAATCACCTTATTCAACTCCCTATAGTCAATACATATCCTCATCGAACCATCCTTCTTCTTAAAAAACAAAATAGGAGCTCTCCAAGGAGAATGATTGGGTCGAATGAAACCCTTATCTAATAACTCCTAAAGCTGTTTTTTCACCTCTTGCAACTCAGCTAGAGCCATTTGGTATGGGGCTTTAGAGATTGGTGTCGTACCAGGAGTTAAATCACTACAAAACTCTACTTCTTGTTCTGGAGGAAGTCCTGGTAACTCCTCTGGAAATACATCTTTGAACTCCCGCACTATTAACACATCTTGAACATTTGAGTCTGGAAACTTCCCTTTATTTACCACATTAGCTATATACCCCGTGCAACCTTTTTTAATCATCTTCATTGCCTTCATAGCACTTATCATCAAGCTATGTATATGGCCTTCCCCAAAACCGAATCTATCTCCATTATCTAAGTTAAATCTGGCCTTCTTCTTTCGACAATCAATCAATACCCCATGCTTACTCAAGAAATCCATGCCCAAAATCATATCAAAATCGGGCATATCAAACACAATCAGATCGACAGCCAACCTATGCCCAACAATCACTACCGTCTCTCCTAATAACATCTCATTAGCAACGAAACTCTCTCCATTGGGCATCTCAATTCTAATTGCATGTTCCGCTTTATTAGACTCTAACCCTAATCTTTCCACCATACCACAAGAAACAAAGGAATGGGTAGCCCCAAAATCAAACAGCACATACAATGAGTTAGGGTGGAACTGCAACTGACCAGTAACTGCTAATAGGCTGGCTTGCCTACTTCTAGGCCACTATATACACCCTGGCAGTTGAACTTCCAATAGCTTATAAAAGAGTCACCTGAGTAACCTTACAATCTCTTGCCATGTGCCCCGGCTGTTTACACTTGAAGCATATATTGGACCCTATCAAACATTCCCCTTTATGCTGCCTCCCACATTTTTGGCAATATGGGAGATTGTTTCTTCTTTGTTGTTGTTGTGGGGTCTTCTTATTTTTGATAGCCTTTTTTTGAACCCTCTACTGGAACTTTCTTTTTCCTTTATCCTCTGAGACCTGAGTGGAACTCCCCACATCTGCTTTTTGGGTTGCGATCTGGCCAGAACTAGAACTGCCAATCACTTTAGAGCTCTCCATCTTTCTTTCTTTCTTTGTTAACATAAATTTCAGCCCTCAAAGCTCTTTATAAGGCCTTGCTGTAAGTCTTAGGAGGCTTTCCACCCACCATCGTAATCTGGGCAACTTTGGGGTGCAATCCATTAACAAATCTATCTAATCGGCACTGTTGTGTACTGACCATGGTGGGAGCAAATCGGGCTAGGGAATTAAACATGGTAGCAGACTCCCTAACTTTCATATTCCCTTGTTTCAGTTTAGTGAATTCCTGGGTCTTTGTGGATATCATATCAGCTGACCGATATTCTGCCTCGAACAACCTTTTAAACTCACTCCAAGAAAGAGCACTCACCACATAAGTATGCTCCATTAATTGCCACCATATCCTGGCATCACCTCTTAGCAAATAGGAAGCATAACAAACCTTTTTTGGGTCACTCATAGGAAACAGGGCCATCGCCCGCTCTACAATCTCTAACCACTCCTCTATTATAGCCAGGTCATTGGTACCACTAAACTCGGGTTGGTGCTTCTGGGAAAGATTATAAATTGGAGGTTCATAACTCGAAGGAATAGCACTTATTGTCATAGCTGGTCTGACTATTGGAGCCGTGAAGGAAACTTAAGGCTGAGGCTGAGCTAACGGAGTAGAAGAACTCACATGTCCTTGGTTAGTTGTATCTTCCAAAATAACTCTCCTGAGGGCCTCATTTACGGCTGTTTGAATCATTCTAGAAACTGCAGCTTCATCTAACACCAGAGCATTATGGGTAGAGGCAGTTGATCCACCCGTAAGGGGCGCATTAGTTGTTGGCACTACTGGTTCACTTAGGCCCGGTTTATTGGGATTCTCTACGCCCCTTTTGCCTATCCTCTGTGATCATCTTGTAGCCATACCCTTAGCCCACACAATTTCAAACAACATTAGCTTATCTTATTTACTAAAGCAGGGAAAGAAATACTTACAACAATCAGCAGGTAGGAGTATTCAAGGACGCATAAGGGATGACACTTCATTTACTTAAAACACACTTTTCATAAATACTATAACATTTCAATCAAAACACCATCTAGAACACCCAAAATCATGCTCTGATGCCAACTGTAAAACCCCTCCCTGGCCGGGTATTTCCTAAGTATCCATTTCCTAAGTATCCCTTGGCCATTGAGAACCTAGAAAACGCACACCCAAGAAAGAAGTTTATTTTAAAACCCTATTTAAAGAATAAACCTGTAGTTTAAAAACATTATTTTTTTTATTTCTAAACTATAATAAGTTCATTGTACAAGTCAAACAATATATTTTTGGAGTAAATTATGAAATCTATAGTAATAATTACTAGAACATATAGACTTTTACAAACTTTACTAGCCATTTGATTTCCTTTACTAACACAAACATATTTACTCCATTATAAAACATGGACATATTTACTACATTATAAAATATGAACATAATTACTGCACTAAATACTAGCAAAACCATTCAATAGTCATCATTAAAACATCCCCTCATGCTCAAAGCGTCCCTTGGAATCCTCTCCCAACTTCATGCCTTAAACCTTACCTGCAAAACTTATAAACATCATGGGGTGAGCGCTAATCGCTCAGTAAGGGGATATGGCTATTCTAACTTTAATGGATTTCTTACACATACAAAACATTCATAAATTCACAACATATTATTCATTGTCAATGTCATAAATCATAGTCATGATATTCACATTGACTTTCTTATACACATAAGTCATGGTATATTTAAAACATCCTAAAACACTAAACATATATGACTCGTGCAACATTCACAAACATGACATGCCTATTTCTTTTATCTAGGTATTTGACATTTCGTTTATCTTTATGAACCAATCGGATTCATTTGAACCATTGCCTTGTTCTTGATTACCACCTTAGAGGACTCATGGTTTTCATAAAATTTCCATTGCTCAAATCTTGGTTTCACACCTCAAGAGACTCATGGAATTCAATACCATTACTCTGGTCTTAGCCTTATGCCTCAAGAGACTCATGGAACTCATATACCATTACTCTGGCCTTGGCCTTACGCCTCAAGAGACTCATTGAACTCATACACCATTACTCTGATCTTGGCCTTACGCCTCAAGAGACTCATGGAAACCTTTCTTTAACATCTCATAAATCCTCCATAAGTCAACTAAACTAGGTTATATATGTTATCATTAGAATGCATTCATAAGGGATGACATCTCCCTTTAACATACATAAACATTACATATGTATTCATCATACATGTCATTTATAGATAACTTATGGACACGCTCATTCATAACATTTATTCATCTAGCATATACCCATGACCACTTTCATAAATCTTTAGTCAATTGAGTGAAATTCCCTGTCATGAATATTTTCTTAATATGTCTCATTTTCTTAATTTGCTTAAAATTTCATGATACATAAGGAATTTCACTATGTGTCTTTTACCATTCTTGTTCATGTTAGGCTATAGGATTTATTTAGTGCCTTAACCAAATTTCCAAAGAAATTCAGAATTTTTTTATTTGGAAGGTGGATGCCGCATTCTTTTGCATGCCCATTATTCAATTAGCATTCAAGCATTTCCCAACACAAACCAAGTCATAAAAGTCACATAAAACCCTCCCTTTCACATTCAAACAAGTGTCAATCATCCAACTACAAATCTCTTAAGTGGCAATATCCTCCTCCTTTTCCGACACAAACCTCAACCAACACCAATTCACACAATACATAAACAAACCATAACTTTATACATCAAATTAACATAACAAAAATTAAGGTTTACTAACCCTAGGTGTTGATAACATAGTTTAAAGGGAGGTTTTCCCCTTACCTTAGCAATAAAAACTCAAAAGAAACACTCATCCTTGGCTCCAAATAAACACCTTCACCTATAACAAGCATTAACACTCATGAAATTGCTTTAATACATTCAAACTCATCAAGCTAGGGTTTTAGGGATTACCTTAATACTTCAAATTGAATCTCCTTAAGGTGTATCTTGATCTCCTTCAAAAAATTGCTTGGAACCCTAAGAACATTTGAGAAGCAAATGCTTGGATTAGTAGCTTTTATGGTGGATTTGAGAAAGGAAGAAGAAGATGATGCATTTGGGGTGTACAAGGCATACTCCTCACTCTTAAAACCTTATAGATATTTATTTTATTACTACTCTATTGTGCTTGGTCATTAAAAGTTAGATATAAGGGTCATTTGGATAAATTTTTCATATAAGGGTGTTTCAGTCATTTCCACCACAACATAATGATTAGCACTCATTTAATGCCATTTGAATTCTTTTGAACACTTGGTAACTAAGCAATGCCATTAGGTAAATGAATAATTTACCCTTAGTGCACTTTTATGGATACTTAATTCATATGGATTTGTGTGAAAAGACCATTATACCCCTGGTAGTTTACGCCATTTAACCCTATCAATCTACTTTATGACCATTCTACCCTCATTTATCTTCAATGACATCACCCCTTACACTTTATAATGACCACATCTCGAAATGCATGCAAATTGACCATTTTACCCTTCCATTCAAAAAAGAAAATTACCTAAAAAGGTAGAATTTCATACCTTAGGGCATCCAAATAATAACGCGGGGTTTACAGAGATGGTCTAACCACCAATTAATCATCTTACTAAACACAGACCAAGATTGGCCTCTAGTAAGGCGTTATGGCCACCCAATAAGTAGAGACCAACGAAGAACTTAAACCCGTCAACGGTATGGTTACCGTGCAATAAAATTCTTTCATCATCCATTATCTTATCAAGGCTGGGGTACATAAATAGTGTCATCCTCATATCAAACTCTTGACATATTTGGTGTTTGGTTATCAAACTAACGACTGAGATTAAATCGGCTATGAGCAACAACTCAATTCCACTATGGCCATAGATTTATGGTCATTGCCATCTAACCAAATTGTGTGGTAAGAAAACTACTATGTAACTAGGAGTGATGAATCATTTGTCAATCCACCATTGCCATAATATATTTCATGATATAGCCAATCGCCACTGTATTATCTGTGCCCTAGGTCAAGATAATACTGAAGCTACAAATGTTTCTTGAATGGCCACCATATTTGCTTATAGGGATCTCACAATCAAGACTTGAAATGCTTGATTCTCTTGTCATGATTCCACCATTCTAAGGGCATATATTATTACATACAAAAGAATCTGATTTACATAATATATGAATAATGCCTTTATTGATAGATAATTATGATACATCAAGTCAATTACAATAATTTGGATTGGCTCTAGGGCACCTAGTCTAACAAAAATATCATGTTGTAGCCCACATAAGAAAAAAAATGTCAACAGTATGGTTACCGTGTAATTGAATCCTTTCATCAACTATTATCTCATCAAGGTTTGAAATATATAAATAATGTTAACTTCAAATATACTACCTTGACCTGTTCGTATTCAGTAATTCAAACTAACGACTTAATCGAACTTGAGCACCAATTCAATTCCACCATGGCCATAGTTTTACAATCGTTGTCATTTACCGAATTACTTAGCGAGATAAATTTTGCTATACCCAAGAGTCATGAATCCTGTATCGATCCACCATAGTCATAGTGTACTTCTCAATGTAACAAACCAGTTCTATGTTGATAGCCCTAAATAGGACTACGTTAGGTCAGCGTCAAACTACATTGATATTTACACACGGTGCTCTGGTGATCTCAAGTCTCAGTATCATATGCACAATCATCCATTAGAGGATGTATTCCATAGACATTAGGGTTACCATCTAAATGGAATTCTCTAGAGGGTTAGTCTAATGAACTTGCCAATTGCAAGCACCCATGCGTTGCACCGAGTTGTCACCAAACAACTTCAACATGTAAGATCTGTTACTATCTTTTGATAGGGTCATTCAATGCTATGATAATCTTATTGTATTATATGTGCCCTTAGTCAGAATAATACTGGGGCAATGGACGTTTCTAGAATGGCTACCAAATGTGCTCATAGGTATCTTACAATCAAGAATTATTACCGCTTGATTCCCTCATCACAGTTCAAACATTCTAAGGACAAATCAAAGGCCAAAAACGACAAGATGACCAGTAACGGCTGTGGATCTAGCTGAAAATGGCTAGATCCATGGCCATATGGCCGTTTTTAGCTTTTGATCTGGCTGTGCACGGTTGGCCAGATCCGATCGGTCGTACATTGTTTTGGTGACTACCAATGGCAACCAGTGTTGGTGGTCAGCAATTGTTTGCAGTGGTTGGGGTTTTTGGGTGGTATTCATAAAAATAGTGAGGGCATTTTTGTCCAAAAAAATTAACTTATGAGGTCATAGTAGTCATTTTGTCCAATTTGGGTAAATTGTTATTTGATGGATTATTGAGGGCAATGTGTCCGAAATGATTTTTATTTAAGGGCAAAATTGGTATAAAATATGGATTCCGCCGGTAATAAAAGAATAACAAGGTCTAAGGTGGTAATCTGATTACCCTCTATATCACCAACAGTAAACACTATTGGCTTTACAATTTTTCTGAAATCTTTTATTATTTTGAAACCAAACATGGGAATGTCCAGAATCTAAGATTAATAACCTGTGTTATCTTCATACAGTCCTAATCAAACGCACTCTCTTAGTAATATAACATTCCCTGAACCAAATATACCCTAAGAACCATTCTCACATTCTCTTATATATAGACCTGGCAAAACAGGTGGGTGGCCCGAGAAAACGGATTGGTTCTAAACGGGTCCAATATTTCACAAGACTCAATAAAGAAGCTTGGATAAAGTTTGGTGCATCCGTTACTTAACAAGCATTTTCATTCCATGGGTCCATTCTAAATATCCAAAGCTAAGGCTGCATTTGTTTTAACATTGTAACACTATCATATCCTACTATCCTATCCAATCCAATGAAATAAATACTTTTCTATTCAACTCAAAATCTAATCATAATCTATTTAACTCAAAACATTTAACAAATACTTTTCTCAATAAAAAGTTTATAAATTAACAAAAACACTGTAATGACTCTTTCTAGCTAGTATACTTGGGAAAATATAATACAATAAAAACATATAAGCATATAAATAAAAGATAATGAGCCCAAAAAAAAATTCTTTACTTTATATCTAAAATACTTTACATTAATAAAAGTCTCATGTACATAAGCTCAAAAATAGTAGACAGTGGTGCCATTTCCCTCCGCTTCTCGACGTCCATCCAACCGCTTCTCACCTATTTCCTGCAAAAACAAAGAAATCAACGGAGTGAGCACTAATTGCTCAGTAAGTAAATCCGCTATACTAGCCTTCTCTTTCCGTTGCTCACATTCTAAATTTCTTTCCTTTCATTACTCTTCTCTGTTCTTCTTTGTTCTTATCTCTATTTCTCATTGTTCTTTTGTTCTCACTTTCTTTGTTCTTTCTTTCTAGTTTTCTCTGAATTTCTCACTACCCATGATAGAAATCATGGTATCATGCATAAGTGTGATGCAAATGCACAAGTGCATAGAGATGCATTTTCTTTCCACTTTTCTATTTCTTATTCTGTTTTCTTGTTTCTTTTATTTATTTATTTCTTTCTTTCTTTTCTTTCTTCCTCTTTTCTTATTCTTTCTTATTTTTTGCCGATCGGACATAGTTGATGTATGGATTCGGAACACTGGCCGTGTAAGTGAGTACAGTCCTCATCTACATGGACTCTTACAGACTGTACGAATTCTTTTCTTCTTAGGCCACTCATTTAAGGTGGCATGCATATAGGTACTTCTTCTGGGTACATCCCTCATCCATATGCACTCTTACGGGCCGTACAAATTCTTCTTCTTATTCTTAGGCCACTCATTGAAGGCGGCGTGCGTGTGGGAATATTCTTCTTCTTATCACCCACGGGTTCCCCATCACAACAACCTTTCTTTTCTCTTCTTTAGCACTCTTCTTTCTTTCTTTTTGTTCTTTAGTGCTTTTCTTTCTTTCTCTTTATTCTTTAAGTTCTCATACATATGCATATGATTGCATGTAGATGATTCATGCTCATTATTAATGCAAGAATGCCATGTAGCATAAAAATAAGTCTTTCTCTATCATCTACAAGCTCATGTTAAGATCACAAATAAATACACTCATACATACTTCTCTTGGACATTTCATCAAACATAATGCATGCATACTCAAATTCTAATTTAGCTATACTTCTACTTCTTTCTCAAGCCACCAATATTTGGAGTAAAAATCCCTTAAATCAACATAAACTTGGCCAGGAAAAATACACTTCATAATTCTTCTCAAACTCTTTCTAAATTCAACCTAACTTCTATCAATCACCACACAACAACTTCCACTTCTCATGGCTAAATTCTACTCATCCACAACCATCAATCTCATCAACAATTCTCAAAAACATAAACACATACATACATATAAAAATTCTTTACTCACTTGATTTCCCAAATCATAACTTGAGTTTGATTTACTTACCTTGAACTTGAATAATTTCACTCGAATCTCTCTCTCCTTGGTAGACTTCCACTTTCTCCAAAATCCTAAGCATAGAAACTATACGAATTCAACACTTTAATAATTCATCACACCTCTATTTGCAAGAATTCTTACCTTGGGATGCTTAAGAATGAATCTCTACCAAAATCCAACCAAAAGCCCTCTAATTTTCCTTGGAAATTTGATGAAGAGCTTGAGAGAATTGAGAATGAAAGTGGCGTGTAGGGTTTAGAGAATGGTAGGGTTTGTGTGCTTGAACCCTTAATATCTCATATTAATATTCATACTTTCCCATTTTGCCCTTACACTTTTTTGGAAATTCCATCTTTGTCCATTAGTCAATTACAAAAATGTCGTCATCACCATTGCATTCTCCATAAAATTACCTTACTTTTCACTCCCCACATTTTCAACTAATTAGGGGTAAAATGTCATTTCTCTCTTAAGGAAATTTTCTGTAGAATCTTCTCAAGAATTCCAGCCAACTCTTTGCCCCGGTGAAAAATTCCAGAGCATACGTTGCCGTGGCGCACTTTCTTCTTGGCTGCGGCGAAACCTGCAGTTCCCAAATTCATCAATCTTGCACCTTAAAACCAGCAAAACTAAGGGCAACCAAGCAACACTAAGAGCATATAAGCTTATCTAAGGGCAAAGAAGCATAAAATAAGTGATGTACCTCCATATGGGCGTTACAAACACTCCCACCCACCCAACTATTGCCAACAGCTGACCACCACCACTGGACGGTGGTCAGAAGTCACCAAAATGGTGCATGACCGACTGGATCTGGCTAGTCGTGCGCTGATATGGCCATTTCTAGCAAGATCCACTATGGATCTAGCCAAAAAGGGCCAAATCTACAGCCAAAGATCTGGTCGTTGACGACGGCCATATCTTAATCATCGTTGACGACCGTATCTTGGTCATCGTTCCAGATTTTTGGTTGTTGTTTGGCCATCAACGACAACCAAGATATGGCCATCGTTAACGGCCAAATTGGCGCATGACCGGCCAGATCCAACCGGTCATGCGCCATTGCGGCAACTTCCGGCCACCGTCTGACGATGGTGGCCGACTGCTAGCAATAGTTGGTGGGGGTGGTTTTGTTAATTTATAAACTTTTATTGTGTGAGTGTTTAGTAAAAACAAATGTAGGTGTTAAAAAATAATCTAAATATTTTCCAAACACATTCTCAGAATTCTATCTTATTTGATTAAATAGTATTCTATTATAGAATACTATTCTAAAAAGTAAAACAAACGCAGCCTAAATATCCAGCATAGGAACACACAACAATCCATACATAACAAATAATAATAAAATCTTAATAATCCCATGCTCCACAAAATTCTTTGGTTCTTGTATTTTTTTTTCTTGGGAACTAAACAAAAACGAGAAACCCAAAGCTAAATATCCAGCACAAGAAGAAAAATTGTAAGAAATGTACCAGCCAAAATCACCAGATTGTGAGGATTTTCACTCTCCTGAAAGCTATCAAACTTAAAAGGGGTGTCTTACTTGTTCTTTGCTTTGCACTTCTCACTTTCTTCCCATGCTCTAATCAGAGAAATCTTCTTCTGTTTTAACTCTTGCAAGCGGGAGGTGACAGAAAATGAGGAAGGGCCGAATCAAAGAGAGAGATGATCTATTGCAATGAAGAGAATTCAGAGATGGTATTAGTAGGAAGGGTTTAACGTCGAAGTTTGAAGTCGAAGTCGAAGGTGGAGAGAAAAGAGGCTTTAAGACTTAAGAATTAAATTAGGGATTTTGAGTTTATACTTTTGTTCTTGGGTTTTTTTTTTTTTTTTTTTTTTAATATTTAGGGTATCCGCGCGTTTGCCCGGCCCACCTGTCAAAAATGGGTCGGGGTAACAAAATACAAGCCTAAATTTATGGACCCATACCCTATATTTTTTTCACGAGTACGGGTCCACTCGCAGATACGAACCCATTTTGCCAGGTCACTTATACACTATATCATCTTCTTTTTCGTTTCCACAAAATCTATTACCATTATCGCTCCTTATAGAGTTTATGTTGGTCCCTCCACTAATTTGAGCTTCACAAAGCCCACGCTTGTAAACACCATTGCCAATTTGAGCCTCTAACCTCCTTTCTCCTTCCTTTGTAAAGATTCAATGAGCATTTAAGGAGATAACCACCGTCAAGATACCATTCTTCACCTACACTTATTAGTTAACGTTGAACGATATCTTTGGACACATAAGTTGGTCCAGACACCCCGATTAAAAAAAGAAAAAGAAAAAAAAACACATTATAAAGTTTTAGATAACATTACTACCTAAATAATAAAAATATTACCATTTATTATTCATCAAGTTGTGTTTCCTCTTGTATGATTTAACATAAAAGGGAAAAAGAAGGTTAGACTACTTAAATTGAACTCATTGGATGTGCCTAGGTTAATCTTCGGTCGATGATTTTTGTGGAAAAATTTTTATTTTCAAATAACATTTATTTATATAATTTAAATGATATTTTATACGTAATTTAAATTATTATATCAACTAAGAATATTATAAAAGATAAAATAGTAATTTATTGTTCAAATTAGGAATGGAATTCTATTTACGAAATATTCTTTTTCAAATGCATTAAGTAGACAATGAAAGGGGAATTGAGGTAGATTGTAATTGTAACAGTTTGGTTATTTGGACGAGGTTATGCAATTGGGGTTATATAACTTATATTTCCGCCAAAACCCCTAATATTTTGCAGAATTTATTAGTTGTCGAAGGCAAAGGATCTCTTTTCTCTCTTGTAACGCGAGAGAGAAGATCAAAAGAAAAAAAAAATGGGAGTTCTATCAAACAAGATCCATGGAGAAGATCTCAAGCCTGGAGATCACATCTACTCTTGGAGACAAGCCTACATCTACGCTCATCACGGTTCTCCCTCTTTTTTATCCTTTCGTTTTATGGATTTCAATGAAAAATAATTAGAAGAATGATGACATTAGTTATAGGCATTCGAAGGCTATGAATTTGTAGGGGTGTGTTGGGTTGCATCATATGACTTTTATGATATGAAATTATCAATTCATGAGGATGTTTTGAGATTTCTTTCTTTCTTTCATAGTAAATGTTTGGAATTTACCACAACTTACTTGGTTTCGACAGCTTTGAGGGAGTCTATTGGAATATAATTCTTTGAACTGAGAATTTTTTAAGAAACAACATAGGACATAGTTCCAGGAATATTATTATTGTTATTCATAATTTTAGTTCTACGGTTGTGATGACTCAAGGATAGGGATAGTTTTAATGATGTCAATGGTTTGTTTTTGCTCCTGTATTAATTTTTTTCCTTATTAAAGTTGTTTATTGTATCTGTTAGAAATGCATCCTGAATCTGTTATTTTCATTTTGAATTTTTATCTGAATTTTTTAGTCAGTAGCAAAACGTAATTGAGTTCATTGAATTTAATACGATTTTCCGTTGAGGCATTAGTTGATCAGCTTCCTGCTTAATCGACCATTTTTTTTCTTGGCAAATACTTACATTTATTGGTTGGCAATTAGAATTAGAAATTTTTTTGAATATCATATACGATGTATGTATTAGTTGATTAGCTTCCTCCTTAATTGACCTTTTTGTTCTTGGCCTGTACTTACATTTATTGGTTGGCAATTAGAATTGGAAAAAATTATGAATATCATATACAATGTATATGGAAACAAATTTTGAATGTTTTACACAATTAATATTAAAATGCCCGTATCAGTGTTGCTAACTTTGGTTCCAATATGCACTAGGGATATATACTGGTGATGGAAAAGTGATCCATTTCACTAGGGGAGCAGGACAGGAAATCGGCACCGGAACTTTCTTTGACCGAATCATTTTTAGCTCATCTCCTGCTCACCCTTCTGACAATCCATGTCAACAGTGTGGTGATTATTCAAGGCTTGATGGTGTCATCATCTCCTGCATTGACTGTTTTCTTGCTGGTGGCGATCTCTATCTCTTTGAGTATGGTGTCTCACCAGCTTTATTTCTTGTCAAAGCTCGAGGAGGGACTTGCACCCTTGCCACTTCCGATCCCCCGGAAGATGTTCTCCATCGTGCCACTTTTCTTCTACAGAATGGTTTTGGTGTCTACCATGTTTTCAAGAAAAATTGTGAGGATTTTGCAATATACTGCAAAACAGGTCTACTTGTGAATACTAGCATCAGTATGGGTTGCAGTGGCCAGGCTGCATCATTGGCAGCTGCTGTAAGTGCTATTGTTTCTTCACCCCTTAGATACTTGACTACAAGCTTTAGTGGCCTGGCAGCTGTTGGTTATGGTATTTATTGCGTCAACCGATTGGTTTCTGATCTTGGAGTTCGACGTGATGTAGAAAAAGTCCCGGTTGAGAGTCTTGTTGCCAATACTAGCTTAGACGAGTCAAGCGGTGCAACTGATATTGCCAAAGAATGATTTATGGACATCAATTCATTTGCGATACAAGGTGTTACCCCATTTTTCATGAGCATGAATGTAAAAGAATTTCCCCTTGGACGTATCTCTATTTGTATAAAAAAAAAAAAAAAATTATACATTCTATTGTTTGTGGTCGACTGATCTGATATTTGTGAATGTGAAAATATGCTATTTATAAGTGATATTCAATATTTTTGCTCTAGCTAGTTGTGAATATCGATTGTCTAATTTCATAGTCCAAATTTTGTTTTAAATTTCATTGTTTGCGTCTGTTATTATTATTAGAAAAATACTATGCTTATTTACGAGTTGTACTAACCGTCTTATTATCTTTGTTAAAATTGCACATGGTATCCGTACTATGCGTTATATTTACAAAGGATAGTGAAATGGTGAGTAAGCATAATATTACTCTTATTATTATATTTTTACCCCTTAATTGTGCGAGGAAAATAGTGGTTGTTTGCTACGCATCGTCGGAGTTATTGTCATTATCTAGACCATTTTTAACCCAATTTATGAAGCTTGCATTTTAGCTGCTATACAAATAAAACAGGTGGTTGTCGTACTTCTTGCTCAATTCTCTGAACCAAGAAAATAATAACACACGATTTTATATATTTTTGTCAATTATTAATTAATATTGCATCACTTGAAATAAAAACTTAAGAAAATATTATGTGTCCAAGTTTTTTAAGTTCGTTTTATAAGTGATTGTCATGCTCAGTTTTAAAACCCGGACCGGACCGACCGATTGGAACGAGAGCCGTCTATTACTTCAATCCGGGTTTACACAAAACCGGAAATGTCAATAAACCCGTTTTGGACCGGTAATGGACTGACGGAACAGTACAAAACCGTCGATCCGACCGGCCCGGGGCTTAAAACGGTTCGTCGAATTCAAAAAAAATTCATATTCCTAAACCAATTTCAGCACTGTTTCATTATCTTCCATTTTCATCTTCAATTGTAAAGAAGAAGAAGTAAGGGGAGGGGAAGGAAGAAGAAAGAGGAGAGGAGAGTCAGGAGACACGAGAAAGAGTAAGGAAGAAGATTAGAAGAAAGAAATGAGGAGATGAAGAGAGAGAAGGAAGAAGAAAGTGAAGAAATATTACAGTAGAGGAAGAAGAAAGAGAGAGAAAAGAAAGAGAAAGAAGAAAGTGCCGGGGAGTGATGGGGAGAGAGAGAGAAAAAAAGGAAAAGAAAGAAATTGATGGGAAGTGATGACCTGATGGGGAGAGAGAAAAAAAAGTAAAAGATGAAAGTAACAGGGAGAGAGAAAAAATAATTAATAATAAAATTTGAGTGTATTTACTTTATTTTAAACTCACCGGGGTTTATAAGTAAATTTTAGAGATGTATTTGATAGTTTTTAAACTTATAACAATTAATAAAATTGTTTAAAGATGGGACTGTTATATACCGGTCAGACCGACCGGTCCAATCGATTGGACCAGTCAACCCGCGAACCGGCACCTTGATCGGGTCAACGAACGGTCCGATTTTTAAAACAATGTTGTCATGTAGAGAAATGAAATGTCAATCATTAATTTATATCAAATCACTTGAAATACAAACTCATAAAACCATTACATCAGTAAATAAATCCAAGTAATTGATAATATTTCTTTAACTAATTATAGGGACATACATAATAAATAATTGCTTGACATAGTGATATCATACTCCCCAAATGATTCACTCCTCATATTAATAAAATTAAACCAAATCACAAGCACTACAAGATGACCTCGAAACCCTTTTCGTGTTCTCAGAAGTTCACCCACAATACATTTGGAACAACTAAAAAAGTTCTATAAACATGCAACAAAAAATTTCTTAATTAATTACCCACCCTCCCTATTAAAATAATGAATAATACTATGCGTACTTACGAGTGTATTAACCATCGTACTAACCTTTTGTAAATATAAAGCATAGTACAGATACCACAAGCATAGTACGGGTATCATATGTAATTTTAACAAAGGTTAGTAAGATGGTTAATAAGATCCGTGAGTATGCATGACATTACTCTAAACTAATACATAAAACATCAATCCAACCCATATATATATCAAGCAGCTGACTGCAGCTAGTATGGCCACAAATCAATTCCACCCGGCTTTTTGACGAGGATCTGATTATATTCAGGCCTTGACGTCTACAAACAATTTTTGCAATCATCAGAACTTCAATCATTATACAAATGGATAAAGCATGTTATGTTATGAATCAATGCATCACTTAAATTGTCCGTCACAAATAGGATCACGACAACACCAACTTCAGTAAATAAAAAATGCTATAATCAACTTAATGCTAGAAGTGTACTGCGTAGAAAACGAGAAGAAATCTATTCAGATCATGTATTTAGTTGGGCGATTAAATATTGACCAAACAGATTAACACTAATGAAAAATATGATTGTCCAACTAAGTCAGTTGTAATGATTTGTCAGATCTATTAATGTCATGACCTGATGAAGTTCATGCATTTGTGTTTGTGTGTAAATAATGCATGAAATTGTTAAAAATAAAGTACATATAACAGAAAAATTTCATAAACAGCCAACCAAATTGGACAACCATCAGACTTCCTTGACAGACAACTTCACAAATTAGTGTAAGCGAAAAAGAGTTATCCTATTGAACAATTGTCCTCACGATCTCACCTGTTACATTCAATGAACAACATGCTTGCTCTTATTTAATAAGTATTTATCAAGCAAAAAGAACATGGGACAAGACTATCCAAATTTCTATTTGAAAGAAGGGCATCCAAGAGAGGGGGAATCTTCCTTATTGAGGGCAGCCAAGTTGCAAAACTCTGAATGAGGCCCACATCACTAAACTATGACTTGACCATAGATCTTATAAACACTTGGGACCCTTCCCTTAAAAACCGGTTTTTACGGGTAATTTCTACTTAATGTGTACCTAATAATTAGAAGTAGAATTGACAAGACAACTTAGGTTAGGCTGCTGATTGCTATCTAGTAGTTTGCGAGATTTGCAAAATCACCTAACTAGGTACATGGACCCTTGTGTATGTTGGTTTCAAAAGCATGGTGGATTAACAACCCAATCAAGCCCTACATGCTTAAACAACGGTTTGGCCATTAGATTTATAACCACTTGCTTGGTCACTCTTCCTTTACAAGTCAAATTTTTAAAAAGCACTAGCTCCTGCAGTCTTCCATTACAAGCCGAATTTTAAAGATGACTTCTACTCAATTTGTCCATAACAATTGGTATCAAAGAAAAAGCTAAGCAAGGAGAGCCCTTGTTACTGACATGGTGTGGGATCCTCAAAAGCATGATGATTGTAACAACCCAATTGAGTCCTACATCAATAAGCTAAGGTTTTGACATTAAATTTATAAGCACTTGCTTAGGAACTCTTTCTTTACAAGTCAATTTTTAGAAAGTACTTGCTTGTACAATCTTCAATTACAAGCCGTTTGTAGAGATGAGTTATACTCAACTTGTTCATAACAACTGTTATCAGACCAAAAACTATGCAACAAGAGTTGGGATTCACAAAGTCACCTAATTGGGTATATGGGTTGTTAAGGAATTGGTTTCAAAGATATGGTGAAATTTCACGATCCAAAAAAGTCCCACATCACTAAGCTAAGGTTTGGTAATGGGTCTAATAGGCACTTGCTCAGGCAGCCTTGTTTGCGGTTGTTTTTCAAGGGTCAATTTTCCTAACGCACAACACATTGCTCCCAAATCCAGAATTTTAATTTGTTTTCTAAATTTTGCATTTGTTAATTTTAAAGTTCACGCTTAATATTGCATTTTCTTTACTCTGGCCACCCAATTTTCTTGTATTCACAGATTGAGCCCAAAATCCAAGACTCTGAATCTGCACTGAGGGTATCCACAATAGAACTGAAAATTCTTCGACAACAATGACAAGCTGAAGAGGCATAAGAACCGATCTTTCCAAATTAAAAAGTAATTTTATCACAAAAATACACGATACATCGCTAAACGTAACAAGAACAAGACCTAAACAAGCATTAAGCAATAATCCAGACAAGACATAAACAATTCATGGGACTCCTAAATTAAATCAAATAATTTCTTCTGTTTATAGCCAATTAATAATAATTCAATCTCAGAAGTTACAGTAATTGGAGAAAGGAGAAGACTTACGAGATCTTTGAAGACGATGAAAGCGATAATGAAGAAAAGAAGGAACAGAATCTCGAACTCTGCAAATTTAACGAACGAAAACGCAGCAGTTACTCCTCTCGTCAACGCTGACTCCTCCCTGTTTCTAACCGGGCGCCTACCCATTTCCGATTAAAACGAAAATTCTAAGCTGCTATTGACAACTAAGAAACAATCCGATACAAATGTTTGGTATTCCAAAAGTATTTATGCAATTGGATTACTGCATTCAATTTGTGTGTGCGTGACCTCTGAATCGGTCAAAACAATTTTCTCATCAAATTAATTTTCACAAATCTACCTCTATTTAATAAATTAGCACAAAGGATTTATTTTAGGGAAATTAATTAATTTAGCCAAAACTTGGGGGCTGTAAAACATTGATCACCTCTCTCAACTGAACTAGCTTTATACTCATATAACTAGGGCGGTGACCCAAACAGAGCTGCTCGCGGGCTTGGGCCAGGCTTCATATTTGTTGAGCTGATCTCGAACTCAAGTCACTCGAGTCCTAAATCGAGTCGATTAGAGCGGAGCCATTGGCTCGGCTCGAGAGGTTCGCGAGCACATAGGGGCTCGAAAGGGTTTAAGGGGTCATATGTAAGTTTTTACAACTATGAGGGGGTTATGGGGCTTTATATGAGGGTACATATATAAGTTTTTACAACTATGAGGGGGTTTAGAATATGTTATTTTATTTCCAAAATGTAAAAACCCAGTTTTATGACTAATGTTTGATTGAATTTGAAACCCAAAAAAAAAAAAAAAACCAATTCAATTTTTTCTGTAACCCAAAACTACTTCTCTGTATGTTCGTTGCTTGCAAGTTGCGCCACCGTTCGCAACCGATGCACCTCCGTCTCCGAGACTCCAACCAGTCAATTACCCCAACTAATCCATCGCCAACGACACAGCCACCCAAGGTACTTGTTATGCAGATTGCCAAGTAGTATTGTGTGATTGTATTTGTTGTGTAGTGCTGTAGACTTGTATTGTATGATACTATGATTGTTTTTTTGTTGTGTAAGTGTGGATTGGTTAATGGAATGGGTTGTGTAAGTATGGTTAGAGCGATGGGTTGAAGAAATGGGTTTTGTAAGTGTGGATTGATTTGTGTGTGTGTGTGTGTGTGTGTGTGTGTGTGTAACTGTGGATTGGTTGATGGAAAAGGGTTGTATAAGTGAGGATTGGAGCTATTGGTTGATGGAAAATATTATATGTCCACAAATTTGCGGTCGTTGTCATTTATCGAATTACTTAGTGAGATAAACTCTCCTACACCCCAAGAGTGATGAATCTTATGTTGATTCACCAAAACCATGGTGTACTTCTCAGTGTAGTCAATCACTATCGTACTGATAATCCTAAATAAGATTACGTCAGGCTAGTGTCAAACTACACTAATATTTAACACGGTGCTTTGGTGATCTCAAGTCTAAGGATTATATGCATCACCATCCGTTAGAGGATATATTCCATAGACATTGAGGTTACCATCTATATAGAATCCTCTAGTGGATCAGTCTAGTGAACTTGCCAAATACAAGCACTCATGCGTTGCACCAAGTCGTCACCAAACAACTTTGACATGCGAGATCTATTACTACCTTTCGATACGGATGCTGAACGCTATGATAATCTTATTGTATTATCTGTGTCTAGTTCATAATAATACGGAGGCTACGGACTCTTCTAGAGTGGCCATCATATGTGATCATAGTCACAATCAAGATTTAAAACACTTGATACCCTCGTCACGATTCTACCACTCTAAGGGCATATATCAATATAAATTAAATAAATATAAGCACAATGATATATAGAATTCGCCTTTATTAATATTAACATGTGTTTTACAAATAGTCAGTAGCTACAATCGGATTAGCTTTAAGGCACCTATACTAACATTTGTCATATTAGGGTTTTACAACATATAATTAAATATGAATTACACGATATAATAAAATTGCCTTTATTAATAAACATGATTCATCAATGTCATATTACATGAATTGATTGGCTCTAAGGCACCTACTCTACCATGGCTTCGCCCTTTAAATTGTCAAAAATTTATGATGTCTTTCACATTTCAATGCTTAAGAAATACTACCCGAATCCTTCTCATGTGTTGAATTGGAGTGACCTTGTAACGCCCACATCGAGGTACGTAGTTTTACTTATGCCCTAATACCCTTAGTTAAATTTTATTAAAGTTATCTTGAACAAATGTGAAGAAAATTCCTTAAATTGTCATTAGGGGTAAAATTGTCTTTTCACTCATGATTAGTTGAAAAAGTGGGGAGTGAAAAGAGATAGAATTTCATGGAGAATGCAATAAAAATGAGGGCATTATGGTAATTGACTAAGGGACATAGATGAAATTTCATAGAAAGTGCAAGGGTAAAATGGGAAACTATAAATTAAAATAATATGTTATATCAAGAGTTGAAGAATGAAACCCTAGTCGTTCTTCCTCCACTTCCACGCCACCTTCATCCCCGAATTCTCTCAATTTCTTCAATTCTTTTTCATGGGAAATTCATAAATCTTGGGTTATTTTTAGTAGAATTTCAGTCCCAAGCATCCTTAGGTTGCACTAAGAAGTGAGTTTAAATTTTTAAAGTATTGAATTTTGATGATTTGTGTTCATAGGATTTAAGAGAAAGAGAGTTGGATCAAAGAAGATTATTAAAGTGTAGGATTGCTCACATCTAAGGTAAGTAAATCCTACCCTAGTTATGATTGAAGCAACATTGTGTATAGAATTTCTTTTATGCATATATGTGTTTTATATGAAGAATTATTGATGGATTTGATGTTGAATGATGGTTAGAACTTATCCATGAGAAGTAGTGTTTGTGTATTTGATGTTTGATAAGAGTTTGGACGAATTATGGAAGAATTGGAGTAGAAATTATGGAGTGTACAATTTGCGCAGGTTTGGCGTTAATCTTGGAAGATTTTGCTCCAAATTTTGGTGGCTTAGAAAAGAAGTATAGCCAATTTAGAGCTTAGATGTGCACATAAGTTGTTTGATGAAATGTCAAATAGAAGTGCATGTATAAGTATGGTTATGTGTTATTTTGTGATGAGCTAGCAGATGGTAGAGAATGACATGTTTGCATTCCATATTGCATTATTGCATCTAAACATGTAAATTTGGAAAGAATTATAAGCATGAGCCATCTACATGCATACATACTCATGAGAGCATGAAAAAGCATTAAAGAATATTAAAGAGTAAATAGAAAGAAATGAGAATATTAAAGAAATTCAAATCTTATTTTTTATTTAAAGAAGTGTAAAAAGATAAAAGAAGAGAAAGTTGTTGCGATGGGGAGCCCGTGAGTGACATAGCCCCACATGCATGCCGCCTTTAGTGAGTGGCCTCAGAATTCAGAAAGAAGAATTGTACAGTCCGTTAGAAGTACAGTGGATGAGGACTATACCCAGAATTAGAGAATACACTCACACGGCCAGGGTTCCAAATCCATGCCTCAACTGAGTCTGATCGGCAAGAAAGAAAGAAAGAATAGAAAGAAGAGAAAGAAGAGAAAGAAGAGAAAGAAAGAAAGAATAAAAAGAAAGAAATACAAAAAAAAGAAACAGAATAAGAAAAATAGAAAAGAAAATGCACATTCTATGCATTTGTTCATTTGCATCATATCTATGCATAATACCATGCCTATTATCTTGAGTAGTGAGAAAATTAGAAATTGAGAAAGAACAGAGAAGAATAGAGAAAGAACAGAGAATGAATAAAGAATTAATAGAGAAAAATAGAGAAAGAACAGAGAAAAATAGAGAAAGAATAGAGAAGAAGAGAGAAGTGTGATGTAAGGAAAGAAATTCAACATTTAAGCAACGGAGAGAGAATGGTAGCATAACGGGTTTACTTACTGAGCAATTAGTGCTCACTCCATTGTTTTCAATGTTTTGCCAGGTAGTAGGTGAGATGCGGTCGCATGGAACGTCAAGAAGCGGAAGGGCTTGGCGACACTGTCGAGATACTATTTTGTGACTTTATTATATTATGTAAAGATATGTATATAAAGAAAAATTTATTATGGGCCCATTATTTCATACTCATCTATACTTATATATTTTCTTATAATATTGTTTATTTTCCGAGTATACTAGCTAGAGAGAAAGTATTACTGACCTTATGTTGTGCCGTAAAAATTCCCAGCCCGGGCTTAACAGAGAAGCCCAAGACACTCCTCTATACGGAGCAAGCATCAGGCTCGAGAGCAAAGATGCTCAATGAAAGGCATAAGCAACCAGCCCACATGTGCGAGCACGACATGTTACGAGAGCAAAAAAGGGGGCTCGCCGTATGAAAATATCTTCTTGTTCAAACATATCATGTTACCAAATATAAGCCACACACCCCGATCAGTGGCATGCGGCAGTGCAAACTCCACGTGCTCTCCATGCAACTCGGCCAAGAGGAGACTTGTAAAGACACTTGTTGTCAGAGGAAACACCATCACTAGCTACGGCGTAGGGGCATGTGAGCTGTGATCGCCATGCGACATCGGACAACTTGGCTGACACATTTATCGTCATAACATTCTGAAACCCTCTCTCTCTCTTTAAAAGCGGCAATGGCCAAAGGGAGAGGGGATGTGTAATACCCAAGATGTCAAAGGTATGTTCCTAACTCAAAATAGTCCTTTAGATGTTAATTTTATGTTAAAAAGCATAAAATCTAACTAAGGGCAAAATAGTCAACTCATTTGGAACGGTATGAATCAATTATCCATAGAAATGTATTAGGGGCAAAATAGTCATTTTGCCTATGGATAAGCATTGAAAAGGTCAAGGATGAGTAAGCTTAATTGCATTTAATAGCATTAATTAAGTAATAATTATGTTTAGTGCGAAATGACCAAAATGCTCTTATATGAAGAATTAAGGACTTATGAGTTATACAATTAAAATAATTGGGCCAATAGCATAATTTTGGAAAATTAATGAAATATTTTCCTATAAATGAGAGGAAATTCGTTCAAGCCAAGGGTGAGAGCATTTCTTCAACCTTTCTTCCATTTTCTCTCAAATCTTCCATAAAACACGCTTTCTCTCTCTAAGTTTTAAAGGAGTTTTGCATAATTTTTCAAGGAGAACAAGATAGGAGCCTTGGATCTTCAAGTTGAAGGGTTTAAGGATTAAGGTGTAAAAGAAGACAAAGGCAAAGGATTTGTTGGAGGAATTCTTCAAAAAGGTAAGGAATAACCTCCCATGACTTTAGGGATGCTAGGGTTTGTAGATTTTAATGAAACCTTAAATTAAGGCTTTAAGGCATAGAATTAGTTGAACTCATTTATTCTATTTATTGCCTTGAATTCATTATACATGAAGTTATTACTATTTA